GGAGGCTTGCTTGCTCCAGTGAAGGAGGAAGCCAAGGTTCCCTGCCTGCCGCTGCTGGGCTCCGAGCTCCCTATCCGCCCTGCTCTGTTCTATATGTTGCAAATATAGAAGCTAAACAATCCCCAGAAACCTGCTTTCAGTCAGCCGGAATCTCAGAGCTGGAGTCGCAACAAAGTTTCAAATACAGAAGGTAAACAAAGCCCAGAAACCTGCTTTCAGCAGCCGAGGTCTCAGAGCTGGAGCCAAGCCTCAGAGCTAAAGCAGGCTCTCAGCTCCAGTGACAGCCATAGAAGGTAAATAAATCCCAGAATAAAAAAAAAAAAAGAAAAAAAGGAGAGGTTGGGAGCTTCAGTCACCCGCCAGCCTGAAAATGGCCCTCAGCCCCTCACTCAGGCTGGCCAGGCACCCCAGTGGAAACAAAGAGCAAAATGTCTTCCAGGAAAGCGGCCCGGCCGGGCTCGCCCAGCCCCGGTCCGGCCTCCTGGGCGCCGGCGTCTCGGCCTGAAGCCACGCGCCCGGGGCCCTCCCGAGGCCTGGGGGTCGGAGGGCGGCGAGGGCGGCAGGGAGCGGAGAAGGGGGCTCGGATGAGAACTAGCCGGCTGGGCCCCCGGGAGCCCCGGGCAGGGAGGGCCCGGAGGGGCTGGGGGCTGGGCTGTCTGTTCCCCGGGAGCCCCCTCTTGCTGTTGGGGAGCCCCCTCTTGCTGTTGCGCTGGCAGCCCCCCATCCAAACAGCCCAGCTCCACAGGGAACAGGAAGGAGATAAATCCACCCTGGCCGGGCTCGACCCAGGGGGGTACGTTCTCTCTTTCCTGTTTATGGAAAAACGGACAGACCCTGAGCACCGAGGACGTACAGACTTTGACCAGAAAATGCCAGGAATTTGCTTCTCATCTCAGCATGGGAACATACAGAAGCGCAGGGAACAGGAGTGGTCGGGCCTGGCTTTGCCTTCTTTTCCCCTCCGGCCCCCAGGCCCGACCCCTTGCCTTCCCAGCCGTGGGGACTCCTGCTTTCCACGCAGGGGACATCCCTTCCCTGAGAGACTTGAAGGCCGGTCCCCCCACCCGCTCCCCCCTGGTTACCTATTACCCTGCTGGGAGGCGGGGGGAGGGACTGCCCCAGCCCCAGCCCCAGGGATTGTAAAACATCGCTCCCTGGAGATCTGTTGTGGTGCTGGGAGTGCATTTTTGGCATTTTGACACTTGGTGTCCTTGCCCGTGGCTGCCTTTTCAGAGGATCTGCAAGTGGTTCCTCTGTGTCGGTCCTTGGCGCCCTCACCCTGTGAGGACACATGGAGAAGGGTCTGCCTGGCCCTTTAACCAGCTTTTTCCCGGGGTGGCTGGTGCTGTACAGAAATAACAAACCAAACGCCTTGGCTATGGCGAGAGAACTGCTGGTCGGGGCTGTGGCTGCTAAGGCCGACCCTCCCCTGCATCTGACACCGCTAACCCGGGGCACCCTGCCCCATCTCCTCTCAGAGGGGCCTTCGCTTGCCCCCCAGACCCACGGTGTCCAGAACAGCCGTTCTGTGGTGCTGGGGCAGGGAGGCTCGGGGCGAGAACTGGGGCTGGAGGTCCCTCTAGGTCCTGGGGCCCCTGATCTGCTAGTCCCAAGGTACGGCAGTCCTTTGAGGCTTCCTCGCCCGAGGCCGGTGTTGGGTTGTGTAACAGACCTGTGATCAGTGTACCCATCGGGGCACCGAGGACTGAGGACCTGACGGCCCAGTGCACACCCTGCCTGCAAGGAGCTAGTCGTTTCTCAGGGACAATAAATCAAAGGGAAAAGTTAAATACGAGCAATAGCAACATGAGAGTGACCCAGGGTGTGAGCAGTTGAGAAGTGGTTGTCCTGTCGGTGACTGTACAGTCACATGGTTGGAGGTGTCTCAGAGAAGGGGGCCTGGGTGGGGTGGGGAGGGGAGAAGCCCATGGACTGGAAGCCGGGGGACACTGGCAGCTGCAGTGGGCCTGTGTGCTTAAGCGCTGGAAAGCTTGTCTCTAGTTGTCAGAAAATCACAGAGCTGGAGGGGCCTTTAGCGCATCTGGATCAAGCTCCTGGTTTTATGGGACCAGGGGGGTTAAGGAACTTGCCCAAGCTCACACAGCAGGCAGACACAGGGCGGCTGTTTCAGGAGACAGTCTACTCTACATGCTGGCTGGTGAACTGGGGAAGTTGGTCACAATGCTGTGATGCAATTGGCTTTTTTCCCCCCCCCCCCCCCCCCCATTCATTTTTTCCTTCTGCAGAGAAGTCAGCCCTGGGGTGGGGGTGGGGGTAGTGAAGGGAGGAGGGAAACAGGCTGGGGTGGGTGAGGCCAGGCCGCACTGAGGCCAGTGGCTGCCCTGAGGCAGACAATGGTCAGAGCTCCCTAGCAGCCTCCGGAACAGGTCCGGGTCAGGCTGGGGCTTAGCTGCAGAGCCCTGGAAGCTCCCTCCCTGCCAGGTGAAGAGTCCTAGTATCTTGCTCCCCATCCTGGGCCTAGGGGAGGGGCCAGTGTTGCTAAAATTAGGAGAAATTCAAAGATAGACTCCCGTGGCTTCCTGGGAAAGGGAGAAGCTAGGTGAGGTCAGAACCAACCGCTTTGTGCGGGCTTCTCTGCTTCCCGCGCCCCTGGCGGGGTGGGCCTGGGGAGGGTGGATGGCACCTCCATCCCCCCCATACTGTCCCTGGTTCACAGGGAGCGTGCCAGTTCCAGCCCCCGCCCCAGCTCCTGCCCTTCCTGGCTGGGGTTCCCTCATCAGAAATGGCAAGGGATAGTGAGTTTGGGGAGCCCCCTCCCACGGTAGTAGAAAACAGCAGATGGGGTGTTTGTGGTGACCCCCCAGGAAGAGGGCTGAGAGGGGCTGGACAGACAGATGCTCTGCCAGCCTCGGCCAAGAGCAACCTGTGGGGGGAGATGCTGGGACTCAGGAAACCAAAACCCCGGCTTTTGTCCTGGGGGAGCCCACCCACAAAGTGGCACTTGACTGTGTGCGGCTGGCGAAGGGCTGAGTGAGGCTCAGAGCTGGGGCCTGAAACCAACACGGGCCTCTCCAAGGTTGGCCCGGGAGGCAGACCCCGGGTCTGGCCGCCCTCCCTGGACGCGCAACCTCGGAACATCGGGCGGATTATTGACGGGCCAATGGGCTCCTACCCGGGCTGAGGCCACAGTGGTGTCCTGGCTGCTCCCTGGCCTCGCTTTAACCTGACCCCGGCTGCTGGTGGGAGTTAACCCTTTACTCAGCACAGGAAGCACCCCTGGTTTGGGTAAAAATGGCCGGTGTGTCCTTATTTTTCTTGTTCTTGTTGGCGTGGGCGAGAGGCGTGCTTTGTGCTGTTGAAGCTGCTTGCGGGCTGCAGCTGGGAGTAAAGGGGGCCGCGGGGTGAGCCCATGGGGCCAGGCAGTGAGGCTGGGACTCGGGCCGATGGACAGCCCTCCCGACACCTGTGTCTCTCTGAGCAGATGTGCACCCCCAGCAACACGCCGGCCACGCCGCCCAACTTCCCCGACGCCCTGGCCATGTTCTCCAAGCTGCGCACGTCCGAGAGCCTGCAGAGCGGCAACAGCCCCATGACGGCCGTGGCCTGCTCGCCCCCTGCAAACTTCAGCCCCTTCTGGGCCTCGTCCCCGCCCAGCCACCAGGCCACCTGGATGCCGCCCTCCTCCCCGACGGCCCACAGCTTCCACCACCTCCACCACCCACAGCCCACGTGGCCCCCCGGAGCCCAGCAGGGGGGCGCCCCGCAGAAAGCCATGGCTGCCGTGGACGGCCAGAGATGAGACTGGACACGCCGCGCGCTGGGCTGGAGCTGGGCAGTCTGGGTCGTGGGGACACAGGAGGGCCGGGTCGGGGCTGGGGCGGCGGGGGTTTCCTGAAGATCGCACTGGAAGGTTTTATAAAGGAATTTTGGGGGGTGGGGGGGAATAGCAAACTTCCTGAGCCACTTGGGTCCTTCAGGAGTTTCTCTTCAGGCAAGTTTTTTCTGTTTTTAATATATAACTGTAATATATAAATATATAAATATGACTAACTATGTGAATGGTGCTGGCTGGTCTGGGCTACTGGGGTCAGAGGGAGGGGCCAGCACCCCCTCCTCCAGTCCAGGGCAGGTGCTGCACGGCCAGGTGTGTGATGTGCGGGCACACGGTGTCTGCCGGCTGCCTGCTCTCAAAGTCATGGTCATGCTTCTGGAATTGGGCGGAAGAGGGCCACCAGAGGCGCCTGGCAGCCCAAGGTGTGGGGGCCTCCTGCCATCACGAGACATCGCCACCCCCAGGTGGAGGCTGGCACTGAAGAGCCATCAGGGCAGGGCCCAGCCTCGGCCTTGCTCGCTCGCTCACGGCCTGCCTCTCGCACCGTCCTGGCCAAGTGGATGCCGGGAGGAGCGCCTGCCTTTGGGTTCCGTTCCCAAGTCCATCATTTCATCAGGTGAAGTTCACGTGTAAAACTTAAAGGCTTTTCTGACTTCCCAGGATCTTTGTCTGTCCTGGAGGGAAGGCGCTCCTTGGGGGAGTGGGGGCTGCGCCCTGGGCACGGGGCTGGGGGTCCAGACCAGGGCCTGATGGACAGGCTGGTCCAGTTGAATGTGGGGGGCGGGGGGGGGACGGGTCATGACTTGGTTACTGTGATCTCGCTCCTTGACCTTCCTTCGTTGCCCATCACAGGCCGGGCTCGGCCCGCAGCCATGGTCTCCGCTACAGTGTGGGGCTGCTCCTTCCACCTGGTGGCCGCCCAGCCCCTTCCTACTGGGCCCACCTCTGCCCGGCCATCGCTGCCCTTGGCCTCCTTCCTCGGGGGTAGCGGGTCCTTGTGAGCGTGTTATGTGGCGGGGCCAGAGGTCAGCCAGGGCTGCGGGGGAGCCCAGCGCCGGGCGGGCTCCGAAGGGACCATGCCGGGCAGGACCAGCGGGGCAGCGGCCGGTGGGTGAGGAGCCTGTTCCCTGTGCCGGGCTGGCCCGGGGCCGGATCCCTCCTCGAGCCCCTGGCCCCACCGTGGGCCACCCGCTCGGGCCGCTGTGGGGCTGCACCTGTGGGAGGGGAGCCGGTGCAGCTGCCCCTGCGCCCCCATGTGATCCTGTCCTTTGGGGCTGGGTTTGTCCTTTCAGTTTTGTTTCCTGGTTGGAAACCCCTGAGGCTCCTCCCACGGGCACCCCTGCAGCTGCCCACCTGTGCTTTCCAGGCCGGGGGACAGCCCCTGCGCCTGGGGTGGTCCTGCTGGGACTTCCGCCCCCACGTGGCCCGGCCTGGCCGCCTGGGGAGTGTCACCCTTGTCCTGTGGGGGGCGGGGGGAGGCCTGGCGCTTAGGCTGCCTGTCCCTGCGGCTGCCCCTCCCTTCCCGGCTGGCGAGTGGATTCTAGGCCAGGGACCTGCGTTTCTTAGCGAGGGTGAGGGCGCGAGAAACAGGAGCCCAGCAGGAGTGGGGGGGCGGGGGGGCTGGCCTCGCTCACCTGCCTGCAGGGGCAAGGGTGCTGGCGTGGGGGTGCCCACCGGACTGCCCCTCCCCCATCAGCCTGAGTGTCCCTCATTACTTAGAGATGAATGGCGTCCCCGCTGATGGGGATGGAGGGGGAGCCCCTGCGGGGAGGGGGAGCACCTGCCTTTCCCGTGACACCTCGCAGCCCCCCCCCCCTGCCCACAGGGGTGGGGACTGGGGAGAAACCCTTTTCTGGGCTGTTTCCTGCCACACTTTCCTGTGAGGCTGTCACCCCTCCCCTCACACCCTAAAGCAGGCCTCTGGCCCCCAGGTTGCTTTCCCATGGGGGGTGGGAGAGGGACTGGGGGTGGGGGATCCCCACCTTTGAGGAGGGAGCCAATGAGAACAGACCTGAGGCACAGAACTGCTGCAGTGACTTGAGAGTCCTTCGGGGGGCAGCTCTGCCTTGTCCCTGGGGTGAGGGGACGGGCCGGGCCTGTGTAGTTGCTGCACCAAGCGCACGCCTGCTCCTGCCCCCCCACCTGCCCAGATCTTCAGCTCAAGGACCCAGCACCGAGCCCTCTTGCCTGTTGGGGCAAGGGGACAAGAGCAAGGGAGCTTCAAGGGCGGGGGCAGGAGGGGGGCCTCCGGGACCCCCTTTTCTCTCTTTCGGGGTTGGGAGGAGAAGGGAAGAGAACGGCCCAGGCCGGGCAGCCCCTGCTCTGAGCCTCCTGCCCCCGCGGGGTAAGCCGAGCACCTCAAACAGAAACCTTGCCAGGTGGCTGGTGGCAGTGCTCCCGGGCTCTGCGCCAGGAGCTGGGCACTGCCCTGAGCCCGCGGCAGGAGCGCAGCAGGCAGCTGCCACCCTCACCTTTGCTCCAAGGTACAACTTGCTCCCCGACACCGCGCGTCCGACAGGAAGGCAGGGCCATGGCAGGGACGGCAGCGGCCCGTCCAGCCCTGGTCAGGGGAGAGCTGTTCCGCCCGCTCCCTCGGAGGACGGCTCCGTCTGGGGGGCACTGACCTGATTCTCACGCTCCAAGCCAGACGCCCTCTCCCGGAGGTCTGCCGCCTGGGCCGGGGACCCTCCCTCTGCCCGCACCTTCCGAGCCAGGACAGGGAAGCCAGCTTCTTCCGAAACATTTATTTATAGCTCTGCTCAGTGAGCAGAGGGGGTCCTGGGCCCCCGGGTGGGCTCCTCCATGCCCTCCCCGGGGGGCAGGTCCATGTGCATCGCCATCCCGCTGGGGCTGGGCGGGTGGCCCACATTCGGCTGGGAGAGGCGCCCCTGCGAGGAGACCGGTCGGTCTGTGTGTTGCCGAGAAGTAGCTGCAAGACAGGAGGGGCTGAGAGGGCTCTGCCTCGCTCCCCACGGCCCCCAGCGGCCCCCAGCCCCTTGCTGCACAGGGGGCAAGTGCTGGAGGGCCCTGCCCTGGGCCGGGGTGCAGTCCGCACGGGAGCCCCGAAGCAAAGCTCCTTTATCATCACCGAGTGGAAACCACACCCGCCTCCACCGGGGCCGAGAGCCCCGCTTCGGTCAAGTTTCCTCGTGAACGGGCTGTTTAGGCCATAATCACGCATGAGCAGGGATGTCTGAGGACGCCCCCCCCTCCCTCCTGCTCCCGTGACATTTCAAGTGCCCTTGGCTGTAGACCAGGGGTCCTCAAACTTTTTAAACAGGGGGCCAGTTCACTGTCCCTCAGACCGTTGGAGGGCCAGACTATAGTTTAAAAAAAAACTATGAACAAATTCCTATGCACACTGCACATATCTTATTTTGAAGTAAAAAAACAAAACGGGAACAAATACAATATTTGTATTTGCATGTGGCCCGCGGGCCGTAGTTTGAGGACCCCTGCTGTAGACAGTGGGGTGCCAGGGAGAAGGGAGTGCAGTACCCCCAAGAAAACAGCCACAGACCGCGCTCTGTCTGCCTCTGAGCCCCCTCTCGCAGCCTCGTACCTGGGCCGGAGCCTGGGCTGGGCTCCCAGCGCTGCTGCTTCCCAGCTGGGCCTCGGGCCCGGGTCCTCAGTGTAGGTGAGGCTAGCAGGGCCCTCCCCTAACGCTGGCCCGAGGACTCAACTGTTCCCACGTGTAAAGCTCCACCGGGCGGCCGGTGAGCTGAGCAGCCCTCAATGCAGGCAGGTGCCCCGACCACCGTCAGCTGCTTCGCTTCCCCCAGCCGCTCCCGGAGCTGGGCCTGCAGAGGCCTCGCAGCGCACAGGCCTGGGGCCCTGACCTCCAGCCTCTGCAAGTGCCGTGGGTCCGAAACCTCGGGGGTGGGGGGGGTGGGGGGGGGCACGCCTCTCCTTGGGTTCCCCAGCGGCACGAGCGCAATGCCCGTCACTGATGGAGCAAACAGGCCTAGAGGTGCTCTGGGCTCCAGGCCGGCGCCCTTCCTGAAGGCCCTGAGCCCTCTGCCTTCCAGGCGGGACTGAGCCCCACACGCGGACAGGAGATTTCCAGGGAACCTTCCGAGCTGGGGCCCAGGAGGAGGCCTCCCAGGCAGGAGCAGGTGGAAGGGTCCTTGGGGCCCTTTCGTGCCCTGGGCTCAAGGGCCCCCACCCACCCTGGGAGCGCGTGTGGGCAGGGGCGGACTTGGGCCGGGGCCCAGATTTTTGGGCTGGGACCCTTTCCGTTTCCTTTGTGAAATGGGGCCTTTCATAGCATTTGCCCCCAGACCGGAGCCCCCCCCCCCCCAGGCACTCAGTGGCCATGCGTTTTCTCTTCTCCAGGCCCCGCCCTCAGCTCCCGGCCCTGCCTCTCCCGGGGAAACCGGGCATCTCCCAGCCATTCGCAGGAGAGGGCCTGGCGGGAGGGCCCCCCCCAGAGGGCAGCTACCTGAAGTGCCGCCAGCCATCATGTTGGCGCTCTGAGGCCGCAAGGGCAGCGGGCTGTCGCCGAGGGCCGGCGGCCGGTGCGCGTGGGACCGGGAAGGCTTTGTCTTGTGCTTGTTGTTCCCGGCGCCTGATGGGGACAGCGGAGAGAAAGGTCCTTCTCAGACACCGACAGCTCCGTGGGGACTCCGAGATGGGAGGACTGCGGGCCGCTGGGCGCAGCCAGCCCGAGAGAGACAGGCCCGCGTGCGGCTCAGAGCTGAGGCTGGGCGGCCGTCTGCTCCTGCACACAGTGGCCGGGGCTTTGGGGACGGAGTGTTTGGAGACGGAGGTAGAAGAGGCAGCCAGGGGCCAGGCCTCAAGTGCCTGGCCTTCCAGGAGCGGCACCATCCTGGGGGCTGAGGCGGAGCCTACAGGCGGCTGGGCCACCTGGACACTCACTGTCTTTGTTCGGGATGCCCTGGCAGCTTTCATGTCCCATCCGTCCCCTTGTAAATTATGTCCCATCCAGGGCCCCAAGGAATGTTCCACTTCGTGGTGCTGGGGAGGGTGAGAGGGGCGTCAACCACCATGGCGGCACCAGAAGGTTTCCCTCCCGGCCCTGTCTCCTTGCGGCCGGGGCGTGGCCCCGCCGGTCTCCCGGACTCCAGCACCCACCGAGCTCAGCCCTCGCGGGGCTCGGGCGGCACCAGGCAGATGGACAGGGAAGGAGGTGGGGGCGCTATTGTTCTCAGGGCCCCTGCTGGAGGCCTCGGCCAGGTGGTGGGTGGCCAGGATGGCATTCTTTTCCCAGCCAAGGTCAAGAACCTGAGGCTTTAACTGGGTCTAAGAAACTGCCTCGCCCTGGCTGGTGTGGCTCAGTGGATAGATGGGCCTGCGGACTGAAGGGTCCCGGGTTCGATTCCGGTCAGGGCACACACTCGGGTTGTGGGCTTGATCCCCAGTAGGGGGCGTGTAGGAGGCAGCCGTTCGATGATTCTCATCATTGATGTTTCTCCCTCTCCCTTCCTCTCTGAAATCAATAAAAATATTAAAAAAAAAAAAAAAAGAAGCTGCCTCCAGGCCGAGGGCGGGATGAAGTGCCCTCGGTGGGTCTCCAGAGGACTGGGGGCCCCGGACCCTCCCTGCCCCCCGCCCCCCCACTCGGGCAGCGCCCCACCTTCGCGGCGACCTGGCTGTCCTCGGGGAGCAGCCCCTGCGGCAGGTGCTGCAGGCGGGAGCGGCGGTAGGGGTAGGTGAGGGTGTGGCTGCCCCCGCAGTGCCGCGACACCGTGGCGAAGCTGTAGTCCGTCATCTCCGACACCCTGTGAGGACAGCGGGGGACAGAGCGGGTGACCTCGGGGGGGGGGCCTGCCAGAGGGAGGGGGCAGCTGTCCTCAGGGGCCTCTGGGGCCAGGGCAGAGCAAGGGGCAGACAGGCGGGTGAGTGAGCAGAGCTGCCTCCTGGCCAGCCATCGTGAGGACCACACTCTCACTCACACTCACACACACACACTCTCATACGCACACTCACACTCTCACACACAGACACACACATACACACACACTATTTTTTAATCCTCACCCAAGGATATTTTTCCATTGATTTTTAGAGAGAGTGGAAGGGACGGGGAGAGACACACCAATGTGAGTGAGACACATCGACTGGCTGCCTCCCGCACACACCATGACCAGGGAAGGGAATCGAGCCTGCAACCGAGGTACCTGCCCTTGAGTGGAATTGAACCTGAGACCCTTCAGTCCGTGGGCTGACACTAACCACTGAGCACACCGGCCAGGGCCACCCCCCACACACACACCCTCCCTCCACAGGGCGTTCCCAGCGGTGGGCTCAGTCTGCACCACTGTCCTACCGCTTGCAGCAGGGGGAGCCCAGGCACTGGGCCTGCAGCAGCTCGTGGATCATCTGGCTGCTGGCCTTGACCGAGCCCCCGTAGTGGAACTGCACCTTCTCGATGTCCATCAGCATCTTGGAGTGCATGGTGCGCAGACGCCCCACGCTCCGCTCCATCGCCGCCACGTCAGCCCGTGAGAAGGCGAGGTTGCCCAGCTTGAGGCTGCGGGTGTGGGCAGAGAGGAGGGTGAGGCGCCGCACAGCCGGACCCCAGGCACAGCCAGAGGCCACGCCCGGCTCACACCACCTCTACCCCCGGCTCAGCGGGACTCAGGTGGTCAGGAGCCCTTTCCGCCGTCCCCCAGGGACCACACCCAGGCTTGCCAGGAAAGTGGGCAGTGCAGGAGCCGCCCGGAGAGAAGCCAGCTCCTCCAGCCAGCCTGGGGGGCGGTGCCTCGCCCCGCGCACGGGAAACCCCTAGGCTCCTCAGCTCAGTTTGAAAACCCCCCTTTCCTCTGAGCCCACCCTCAGGAGGTGGAAAGGCTGCAGGAGTGGGCCGAGCTCCAGAGGTGCCCTGAGCGGCCTCTCGCCGAGCGATGCCAAGCCACGGCTGAGGCACTGGAGGGCCTGGGAACGGGGTGAGGAGGGAAGGTGGCCGGCAGCCTTGGCGAGGCCCCCCCAGGACTCCGAAGGCAGGTGTGACGGTCCTGCCTCTTCTGCCTGCCCCATTCTTGCCCTGGGAGAGCTGGTGCCAGCTCAGAGGCGTCCCCGGTGAGGGGGAGCCCGCATCGCTGTCTGTCCTGCCTCCCCGCACAGCCCTGCCCACGACTCCCCTGCGTACTTGCGGCTCTGCTGCCGGACCTGCTCCAGCTCAAAGACGGTGTAGGGGCGGGTGGAGCGGTGCCCGGGCAGGCTGGGCCCCACGGGCGTGGTGGGGAGGACCCTGGGGGGCAGAGGGAAGGGAGGGTCGAGTGTGAGAAATCCCATCTTCCCGTCCCCCACCCCCTGCCCACGGGCCTCCTGCCCCGGGAGCCCTGCTGGGGGTGGGGCGAGGACCAGGCGGGCAGCAGGCCAGGCAGACAGGAGTGGGCCCACGAGGGAGGGGGGCCGACCAGGCGTGGGCACTCACTGTCCAGTCACGGCTGTCTCCAGGGGACGGTCACAGGACAGGCAGTGGAAATGGGCCAGGAGCTGCCTGTGGGATGGGACCCGTGAGGGTGGGGACGGAGCGTGGAGAGCCGGGCCCACCCACAGGCCCCGGCCCGGAGGCCCGTCCTGTCCCTGCTCCCCAGACTCACCCCCTCCCAGACCTGCCCCCTCTTGGTGCGGGTCCGCACCCACCTGTCCTCACCCACGCGGCCCTGAGGGGCGCTGTGTAAGCCTCGGGGGCCCCCTGGCGGTCAGTCATGGAAACGCGGGTCAGGCGGCCATGGGCCAGGTTCCCCGCCCCGCTTGGTGCTCTCACCTCTGGGGACTGGGACTCCCTCCCGTGGCCCGAGAGTCTCAGCCTCACTCCCCTCTTTCTTCACTGTCCTAGGGGGTGGCCTCAGCCCTAAAACACCGTCACTCCTGCTGGGGGCGGTCGCTGCGCGGTGGGAGCTGATCATCCAGGGACCCCGGCCGCCATCTCCCAGCCCCCGCGGAGCTCACCGGCCGCATGCCGGCCGCCTCGCCCGCCGGGAAAAGCGGGGGAGGCCTCCCTTGAGCTGCTGCCGAAAGGACTTCCACGAATCCTCCAGCAGCTGCTTTCACGGGGTCAGGTTCAAGGCGGTCAAGCTGCGGGCGGGGGGGGTGGGGGGGAC